TTAATTTTTTTTTTTTTTTTAAAGAATTTATGAGCTTTTTCTGTTCTCTCTGCTTATGCTATTAAAGTTCTGTGAGGTCAGTAGTGCCTTTGCCAATAAGCTGAATGCACAGTGTTCTTTCAGTGTGGAACACAGAGTAGCATATAGGTCACAGGACACATTTTTGAGTGTCTTTTGGACCAGATCATAAGCTTCCACTGAATGGAAAAAAAGAATATGACTGAAGTGGAGACCCGTGAGTGCTGCTAGTGTTTTGTTTGTAAGCCGGTAGCACTCCCTTAATATAAAGAAGCATGAAGAACCTGATTCTACTTCCATTGCAGATATGGTACTCTTGGAAGAAACCATGAAATTCTCTATTGAGACAATTTAGAAACATTTCCTCTTATCAAATCACTTTGGTAGTTGCTTGATGTTTTTAAAATAACAGGAGATGCATTTACCTACAGGTAGACTGTGATCTCTTACAGAAGAGAGGAAAATAGTTATGCCATCACTTTTGATGCACTGAAGCTTGTTTATTGCTCCCTCAGAACACATTCACCTGGAAGGGAAGCCTTTCCTTTCTCTTCTGTTGCTTACCTGTACATTTTTTATACAAATTTAAAAGCATCAGGGTCTTGGGATGCACAGAACTGCTTGTTAAATGCCCTAAATTGTAGAGGACCCAGTTCTAAAAGGAGCGCACTCTTGAGTTTGTAGCTCTAGTAAGTTTCTGATGGAAATCCCTGAAGCATTTAGTACTACAGAGTTTGTGAGATGTCTTAGAGTAGGGACCAAACAGCTAGAGACTTTTTGTGAAGAGAAGTAGACTTTCAGGTGCTGGAGCTGAGCAAGCGCTGGTCTCCAGTTTAACACAAATATCTGTATTGTGGCTGAGGGACATCCCACTGCTCTTGTAGTACGTAATGGTGGGAAAGTCAGCATGCTGAACAGAGACCATAACTGTGAGAATGGGAACATGGACTCTTGGAAGGATATGGAAATTAATACTTGGCAAGAAAACATCCAAGAAATCAGACAAGCTGTTTTATAGAAAGGGAGTTGGAGAGAGCAAAAATATTCAGACAGAAACTTGTCGTCCCCGTCCCCCCTGCACCACCTTCTCTTTTTTTTTTTTTTAAAAGGAAATTAATCTATTGAACTAAAAGATGGAGTAGTAAAATCTTCAGGTGGGAGACAGAGCTTCTCCATAAAGGAGTTACTGATTGCTGAAGTTGTAAGCATTAGCCAAACAATGTTTATGGTATAATTTTTACTCTCAGAAATGCAGTTGCAACAAAATTTCTCATATGTGAGTAGTGTTCTGTTTTGCAAGAGTATACCTGAGTATTCTCCATTTTTCCTGTTGTCCCTTTTTTGTATGTCTTATTTTTGGTAAGATAGATTCCTCCTCCTTGGATCCATTTTTATTGAGGCTTCAATGTTTTCTCCGATGACCACATGCCTTCTTTTGGGGGTGGGGTTGGAGAGGGATGGAATCATAACCCTTTGCTGAAAATCTTGTCTTCAATGTATGTGCTCCAGAAACAGTTTTCCAAGTTGTACCAGCAGAATTTTGAATTAAAGGCTTCAGGTGAATATTGGGTGAGCACTAAGCAGCCTAAGCTGTGGTACTTCTAGGCAGTAAACTTCAGCATTCTTGTTTTCTCTGTGTTTAATTCTCTGTATAAAGCTCCAAGATGCTCAGATGAACAGCTTCAGTTTCCTTTCTCCTTTTCCAACTGACCTTCGGTATGGTATTTCATCATGTTCTTACTTTTTACAATTGAAAACTGCCTGGCTCTGAACTGCTTGTAATTGCATTCCTGGCTGTGTCACAGTGCCAGTTAACTGTTTTAGTTACCTGCTTGTTTTAAACACCTGAACAATACAAAATCAACAGGGTGCACACAAATGAATTAAAAATGGCTCTATGCCAAATCTTACAATGGAATTGTCAATTGGAGTTACTGTTGAATGCATGTCTTTTAATGGATTCCATAAAGATCATTGATTTGCCCCTACCTTATTTGGCAGGTTTTCCAGTGACTAAATTTCTTCTAATGGATCATTGGCAATACAACTTGTGTTGGATGTACAAACCTAGGTAGCACTAAATAATCAGGAGGATCGGTCATTGATACATAGCAGTCCAGGTCACTTAGCTTGCTGCAAGCAAGCTGGAGATTTAAATTCAGATGAATACATAGTCATGCATCTAGGAACAAAGCATTTTATATCCTGGGAAATAGTGACTATGATTATCTTGGAAGTAGTGACTGTGATTATCGTGTTCGTTTGATTGTCATTTGTGACGAGAACAAATGTATTCTTGGATGCATCATTGGGAGTCTGGAGTAAAAGCAGTGAGGTTATCCTGCCTCCCAAACTTTCTAACTGCCTTTACCTACCTCCCAATCTTCCCTAAACGCGTGGTTTCTCTTTAATATGAGGTTGTACTGTCTTCTTGGCAAGCACTGGGCAGTCTGGTGACAAGTCTTTCCAGGCTGCATAACTTTGCCTCTACTCTCTCAGCTAAGTTGAATTCTGTTTAGGGGCAGGTTTGTTCCCTCACTGAGACGTTAGTCTAGTTGCCACAAGTTTCCACAGCAACATTTACAGATAAACTGCATAAAACTTTCCATTAGGTAAAGACTTCTAGTCTTTTCAAGATGAACTCTCATGTTTCTGTTGTTCACTACAGGCACTCAGCTCTGAGGCTAGACATGTGCTTTTGGCTTGTCCCATGAAATTCCTTTTGGGTTTTACTGAAGTTATACACTGTTGAAATTTGCCCTCGTCTCTTTTTGTTGGGAAAGCTTGGCATTCTGGCATAAATCATCAAAGGCACAAATGTTCGAAACATCCACACCCACTGATCACTTTTGTACTGGAAACACCTGAGAGCTGGTGGTCCATCCCTTAGTGTGGAGTTACAACAGAGAGCAAGTTTTCCCCCAACTTTTAGGGAGGTCTAGGATGCCCCTTCAGTAACTTCTTTTGGACCTAACACATGGAACCAATGACTTGACATGTTCTCTCCTTTTCATGCCTCTGGTCCCTGCTGTCTCTAGTTAATGCAACTAATACTGTTGCTCAAGCAGTCTTCGGAATTTATTTCTTGAAGTTGTTTCTTTTTTGGCAATCCCTTGCAGTTGAGAGTGATTGCCTTCCATGGCTCTCTTCTTTCACAGAAGACACCTGTGTGTGACTTCTTTTATTGTGGAGAAGCTGCTGCACATCAGCTTCCACATAACTCTTGACAGAATGGGACCTTGATCCAATGGCAAGGAGACCTAGACAACTGGGGATCTCGTTCTACTGCAGCCTTCATCTGCCTTCGCAGCTGTTGAGAGTCTAACATCATCTTCTTCCTGCTCTGCCACTGATGACTTGACCTTAGGGTGGGGGCTGGGCAGTCTTATTAGTGGTGACCATTCTCTTCAAAGTGGGCTGTATTTTGATGTATGGTGCAGCACCATTGAGATCTGTTACCAGCCAGCATTTCCCAGTTTGTAAGGTTGATGCTACCCTTGTTAAGGTATGTTTTTAGGGTGTCCTTGAAGTGCTTCCTCTGTCCTCCACAGGTCCTCTTACCATGACTGAGTTGAGAGAAGAGGGATTTGCTTTGGAAGATGAGTGTCAGTCATCTGCACACAGTGGCCACATCCTGATGGTGGTGCTGCTGCTTGCTCTTTTGACTCTTATTTGTCAGAGTTACCCATGCTTATTTTATATTAACCTTCCCTGAAGGTCATTCCACTGTTTGCCACCTGTGGACGCTCTTGGTAGCAGTACAGCTTTTCCCCCAAATGAAATCATTTAACCTACGAAGTCAAGCACTCCAAAGTTAGGAAGCATTGTTCTGAGCTTGTCTTGTGTAAGCTCAATTTTCCCTGCTTGCCATGATTAGAGCTGGTCAGAATTATTTTGAGCAAATGATTTCACTGAAGATTTCTGAGCCTGAAATGTTTTATCTGGAATATTTCAGGTTCAGTGGCCTTTCACCAAATTCAGAGCTGGGCTCCAAAGAAAACCTGTATGGCCCTGGATCCTGCTGGAGAGGCTGAAAGTTACGGGGTTAATGGCCTGAGGGAAGACTTACCTTGCAGTCTGATTAGGGAATGGAGGCCCTGGGAAACTCCTGCAGCTATTAGATGATACTGACCTTTTTGTAACTTCCTCTCCTGCGGGGAACTTCAGGCATGTCAAATTCCAAACAGTTTTGTTTAGGCATGATCCAGTTCCAAGTCTTTTGGCTTATTAAAATAAAAAAATCTTGCAAACTGGAAATGCTGCTTTTTCTCCAGCTTTGTTTGACACATTTTTTAACTGAGTAATCATAGACTGTTTTTTCTAGGCCCCTGTCTTTTATTTCTTTAGTGTACAGGGTGGAGGCATGGGGTGGAGGGGTAGAATGTAGGTTACACAGCAAGTGCATTTCTTGTTTTCTCACTGATGCAATCTAAATACTTTCTTTTAATGTAGGATATTTCATATAATTAATGTAAGTACTTAAGAAATAAACTTCAAAGCCTAATTAATTAACAGGCTGAATTTCTAATTGTGTATGAGAAGTGGATTGCTTGGTGTTCACTTGTATAATTCTGTTGAGTGCTTGAAACTATTTGGCTGTGATTTATGGAAAATAAAATGAAAATGCTTTTGTTTAAGACTGACACAAAGGTGAATGATGAAATTCTTTCTGTGTCCAGAAAAACTGATGCACATATAGCAGGATCAGCTTGGTTGCACTTTTCAAAGACTTTATAAAATTCCTAGTGCCACATTTGTTTGGGAAATACTGTAGTTTTTACTTCAGTGCTAAGGCTCAGGGATGAAAATTCAGTGTTTCTTATGAGTTAGGAGCTGCAGTCATTTTGAGAAGTTATCCAGGCTCTTAAGTGCCTTTGAAAGTTTTCCCAAGAGCTTTAGGTTTTTTTTATGCGGGATGAAAAAAATAAAATTGTGTTCTATCCTACAGAAATGTAATGCTGTACTCTTGTTTTTTTCTTTAGGCACTCAGTGTTACTGAGACTCTGATCAAACCTTTGGAAAGGTTTAGAAAAGAGCAGCTAGGAGCTGTAAAGGTTTGTCCTTAATTTTCATTTGAAACAGTTGATTTTGATTTCTCTGATCAAAGTGCACTCATGACACATTTGGCAGAGTGCGGAGAAATGCCGATGTTTATATAATTTTACGTACCACTTTGTTTTTTCTTTGGGAACTTGGTTCAGAAACAAATGGAAAGTTTGTGCTGGGAGGGGAGGAATGTGTTTTTTCCTCTTCCCTCCCCCCCATTCTTTTCTGTCTTGGGTACAAGAAATCCCTCACACGACTATCTGATGTTGCTAATAGATGACCCCATTGCTTTACCCTATGTTCACTTAATTGCATAATGAAAAGACTGCTACATGTTGGAGGGGGGGGTGGCCTGGCCCGGTGGGAGAAATGGGGGAGTAACTCAGGCCTCTGGGGGAAAAGGGGCATGGCCTGGCCTTGCGGGGGAGGAAGGGGGGCAGCCCCCCTAAAAAAAAAAAAAAGGGGGGCATGACCTAATTCTGTGGGGGGGCAAAGGGGGTGTGGCCTAGCTGCAACCCAGCCCTGCCATGGAAAGGGTAGTGCAGCCTGGCTCTGACCAGACCCCTGGGACTTGGAGTTTGGGTATTTGGCAGGGAGGAGGGTGACTGTTAAAGTCTGCTGGTTCCCTGCTGCCAAATTTCCTGACCTGTGTGTTAGATTTGATGGCTCTGCAGGCCTTGTTTGGCCTGTAGGCCAGAGGTTGAGCACCTCTGGTCTGGGATGCTAGATCTGTTTGCTATAGCAAAAATACACGGTATACTCATTACAAAAGTGAAAAATAAGTATGTTCTCCAATTTCTAAGGATTCTTATGGATAAGTGAGCCTTGAGGAATAGGATCTTACCTACCCAGTCAATGTTAGTATCTCCTGTGAGATAAGGAGTACTTACTGAATTAATTCTTCAGAAACAGACTCTTTTGATAAATCTAAAAGTTAAATTTAACCAAGCAAGTGTCTGTTCTCAGTAGTCTCTCCAAGTCTCAGTAAGCACCAGATGTAATGTCATCTTTTATCTCACATCACTTTAGTTTGTCGTTCCTTCCAGTTTTCAAAGCTTATTTAAGAATACGTTTGGGGTTGGGTTTAGTGAAAGATCTGGCACAGGCACTTACCCTTCATTTGTATGTTTAGATGAGCTTAGCATGGGGATCATATTTAGTGTAACAGAGCTCAGCAGGACTAGATTCAGGCACTCAGTTGATTAAAAATCGATTTGAAATATCAGTTTGTTCACTTGGGGATGTAGTATTTTTGCATTCTCTATTCTCTACTGGCTGTTTTCACATGTGTCTCACCTGTACCAAGTGGATAAAATGCTGTCCCCATATTTTATGTTTTAATAAATGTTGAATTTATTACTTGCAGGAAGAAAAGAAGAAGTTTGACAAAGAGACAGAGAAGAACTACAGTTTGATAGAGAAGCATTTGAGTTTGTCGGCCAAGAAGAAAGAGCTGCAGTTACAAGAGGTATGGTTGCTACAATTTTCTCAGCATTGCCGTGGACACAGGTCTTTTTAGTTTGAGGTAATCAAATAAGTTAATATTAGCACAGCAGGATCATTGAGGTTGTTGAAAAATAAATTGCTATCTACTTAGAAGGTATGGTAAGGCAGTCAGTACTCAAGTTAAAGGAATAGCAAACCATGAATGCATTATGATTAAACCTGCACTTTTATAAAGCTTTCACCACATGCATACTGGTACTTTTTATTTTATAGGGAAGATTTGGATGATGCACTTAAAGAAAGAAAATTGTCTTTAAAATATTCCCCATGTTTATACTCAATGTTAAGTGCAATAATGCCTGTGCGCCTGGATTGTTTGTTTATTTTTAATTTTTGAAGACTCATGTTTTGAAATGATGCTCCAAAAAGTATGGGGGGCAGGAGGAGGGAGTGGGGTTTGATGTTTTTATAGCATAGAACTTAAAATTTGATTTGTTTTCCATGGTATTATTTCTGTCCCCTCAGGGGTCCATTGTACTTCCTTTAGTTTTTATTTTTGGAAGACCAGTAAATAATGTATGGGAAAATGAGCAGAGGAAGTTTTGTTAGTGCCTCTGTAGACAGAAGAGTTGTTTTAACCATGAAGAAAACTCCCAAAATCCTTAACTGCTTTTGTCTATGAATATTTCATATATTTTGGTAATGCTTAAAAATTCCCCAAAGATAAGGTTTTTCTGAACAAAATGTTCCCAGCAGCCTCCTTCACAAAAAATCATTTTCACACCTAATAAGCTACTCGGTAACTTGAAGAGCCAGAACATACTTGGATTTCTTCTACATGCTATCTCTGAATGTTGTATTATTCATAAATGTTGCAAAAATATATGTGCTTAGTTTTGAAGAGGTGAATAGTCCCACTGAAGTCAGTCGGGACTAACCTCATGCCTACAGATAAATGTTTGGAGAAGCATAGGTAGAAATTGTCTGAAAAATTGATCACATGCTGAAGAAACTGTATTGAAAAATGTACAGGAGTTATTTTAGCCTTTTTAGAAGCTTTGTTTTTAGAAGCCTGTCTAAAGGTCGGAAGACCTGTAGATATCTGAAACAGAAACATGACACCACCTGGAAGGAAATGTACAACATTCCAGAGGCAACCATCTTGAGGTGTGTAGCAGAACCTCATGTTAGGAGTAGAAAGTAGATGCACTGAATTTTATTTGAAAAAATCAGTACAGAAAAGTCACTTAGAATAGCTATTGTGATCTCTTTTACAGTCGTTACCAGAGCAAATCATAAGTCAATCAACTGGTTAACACCTAGAGAAGGGAGTGGTGATTCTGAGCAGCCAAGCTGAATTTATTAAGAAAAAAAGCATGCCATATTTCTTTCCTCCTTTGGTTGGGCGATTAGTTTGGGTGAAGGAAATATAGGGGACATGGTATACTTCAGGAAGACTGAATTCAGTATCACATTTTTGAATCAGAACTCATGGTAGAGGGTCGTATTTGTTATTAGACCAAGTAGATACTTGCAAAAAAATCTTTATTTGCAAGCTTTTGGATGCAGACACCCTTCTTCAGGCACAGAAGAATGCAAAGATTATAAAATTTCTCCCAGGTGGAAATGAAAATGCGTATTTCACAGGAGAGCTGAAGGTGTTGTAAGATCTCCTGGTTGGAAAAGTTCATTTTGTGCAAATTGGGCTCAGATAAAAGTTAGAGCAGTGTATTAACCAAGCATCTAGTTGTTCTAGTTATTACCAAATAGATAGTTGGTCTAATAAAAGATATCACTTCTACCATGAGTGCTGATTCCTTTCGCCTATAGACCAATATGGCTACAACCTGTATCCCTGCAACATGGAAGATATCAAAATTAGCCATTTTTTTTAAATGAAAACTTCCTTCTTGTAAAATTATAAAGCTGACACCCTTGCTTCTGCCTGTTGAACATTTGCATGTTCACTGAGCACAGAGCTACAATACAATACAAGAGAAATTTCTTGCCCAGGAGAGCCTTCCATCAACCCGTCCTCTTGTGGAATATGAAACATAATCTGAAGGAAACATAATTCAGCATCCTGCTCATCATCAGACAACTTTTTAAAGAAAATCCCCCCAAAACTGAGGTTTTCCTGGAAGAAGCAGCACGTTGGTTTCAGCTCTGCAGCATTTATGGATCGGATACTTCAGCTGGGGCTTTTTGCGCTTTTATCTAAAGCTGGTTCAATCAGCTGTTACAGGGGTAGGCGACTTGGCACGCCAGTGTGGTACTTTGAGGCATTTTGCTTGGCATATGTACCTCTGGGTAGATGGCAAGGAAGGGGCCAGGACTACATGGCCACAACAAGGATCGGGCCCCTCATGCCTTCCCCACCATCCACCCCTGGCACACCAACATCTTGCAAGTTGAAGTTGATGGTGTTTTTGGCACTTTGCCCAAAAACATTGCCAACCCCTGAGCTATTAGATAAAAGTGCCAGAAAAGCCCCACTAAGCGCCCAGTTTATACAGATTTTGGGCAAGCCACATCCAACTGCACAGTATCTTGTGGGCATGTATTGAGCTCATTGCAGGAGTGCACTGAGTTTAAAGTAAAGTGCTGGGTTTTTTGTTTTTTAAAATCTGTAAGCAGCCTATGGAATTATATACTCCAATGAGACTGAAATCAAACAAAAAGCCTGAACGATTACCACAGTTCAAAGTGATGGTGGATTTGGGCAACAAGTCTACATTAGAAGACTTGCAGAAAGCCATTAAATGAAGTCCTGGGAACAAGGCATATGGCAGCAACTGTTTTCCTGCTGAAATCAACAAATGGGCCAATGACGAATTACTTCAAAAACTTCATGAAGTTATACTGCTCTGTTGAAAAAAGGAAATGGTACCACAATTTCAAAGATGCTCAGTCTGTACAGTTATACAAAAATAAAGGGGATAGAAGTGACTGTGACAGCTATAGAGGTATCTCCCTGTTGAACCTAATTGGAAAAATTGTCACTCGCATCATCTTCCCTAGGTTTCAATTTTTAGGTAAAAGAATCTATCCTGAAAGTTAATGTGGTTCTTACTCAGGAAGTTCCACCATAGATATAATATTTTTGGTCAAGCAGCTGCAAGAGAAGTGTAGAGAAGAACTAATACCAATGCATATGTAAAAATAATGTATATGGAACTGTCAGCCTCGAATGGATTCATTAGGCATCTGCCTAGACTTCTTATGTGTACACCATGATCCAGAGGTTTGATGGTTGCTTACTCTACAGGAGACCTGGGAGATAATTGTCCTACTTGATCTTAGTTAGGTTTCAGCTAGCATATTCTTCGTTATTTTGGGATCCACAATTTAAGAAGGATGTAGAGAAACTGGAGAGGATCCAGAGAGCTAAAAAACAAAGATGATAAAGATGTGGATTGCAGGCCATCTGAGGAAAGGTGGGCTGCTTGAGTTAGATGTACATACAAAAAGTTGATGGAGTTGTCATCAGCTACAAAATTAGCTATACAGTTAGCTTTCTATGTCTTTTCCTACCTGCATATGGAATATGCACTTAAACAAGAGATTTAGAAGTGAATTTAACAAGCTAAGAAATTGAGCTGTCTTATGGTTATGCTTACATTATAGTAATAGCGCTTGACCCTGTTAATACAGGGTTGTTCCTGGACTATTTGTCTATATGTGAGGCCTCTGCAAAATACAGTGCAGCATGGAACATGCCTGTGTTGAGGTAGTTACTGAGGTAGATCTTGTTTGTTTATATTCCCTGAGTTAACAAAAAATAGACTGTGGAAGGAAGCAGATGACTATATTAGTGTGTAGTGCTATTTGGAACTTGTATTTTATTTCTGTTTTAAACATTAATAGAGGCATGGGCTTTGGTACACTTGGGCAGCTCTCATCCTGAATGGTCAGATGAAAATATGTCCAAACAGGGAATATGACTATAACCTTGAGGTTCCTGGCTAGAGGCTCTTGCCCCTACGCCCCAGGTCAGACCGATCTCCACATTTGGAATCAGGAAGGAATTTTACCGCATGGTCAGATCAGAAAATACCATGGGATTTTTTGGCTTCCTCCAAAGCATGGCCCTCTGATTTCTTGAGTGCATTTCAATAAGCCTTGCAGCAGCAGAACACCAAAGCAGTTGTCCCCCTGCTTTACCTGTGGCAGGTTAACATGCTGTGCCTTGTAGTTGTGTGACAGGCTTGATTGCATAGTTTTAGAAATAAGTTAGATTCCTGCTGAAGAGTTTAAGTCCCTGGACTCAAACGTCCCCATGCCCAGCCGCCCTGGAGAATAAATAGGCTCCTGGTGGAGGGGACACAGAGGGCTTCCCCTGCTGGAGAGTTTAAGCTTCACACCCAGTAATCTAGAGCCTACCAAGAGCCCCTGGTCCTGTTGTTAGTCTCTGGGGTTGCTGGATGTGAAGTTTAAACTGCCAGTGGGAGGAGCCCTTCAGCTCCACCAGCCAACAGCCTCTGATTGCCTTGCATCTGGCTGCTGGCAGTCGCATGTTTGGGATCTGTCCTTGATCTCAACACTTGTATGTCCACCATACGTGTGTGGCATGGCAAGGGCATGGCAAGATGTGCAGTTGTTGTGATCAGGAATCAGATCCCATCCCATAATAATTTTAAAGTTTGCCAGTGGTCAGTGTCTCTTAATTTATTCCAACAAAAGGAATTTCAGTTATTCATTTCTTCTGCAGTCATGAGGCTTGGCTGGGACGTGTGTCATTTTTAATAGCGTATATTAACTTGCAAACTGCATGAAGTAATACTTGTGTCTGGGTAGGAATGAATGGTAGCTGAAACATAACGGATACACAGGATCAGTGTCTCATTGGCACTTAGTAAAAGCCAAAATAATAAAACAGCTGCTTGGGTTGTAAATATGTTTGTGTTTGTTAAATTTCCAATATGTTGTTAGCTGCATTGTACATTTAATATATGGAATGAATGGGAGTCTTTTTAAACTGTTGTTTTGCTGCCAGCAGTATGTCACACAGATATCCTTTGCAATACATCCTGAGAACCCATGACAAATCAGCAATTAAATTAGGAGCCAGAAGATTATCTTTTGCTTTCTCAGTCCATGTAAGTGTAGGGAGGTCAGATGAGGAAATAGCTGAAAACTTCCAAACATTTCAGATGAACCTATTTTGTGGAGGAGGGGGAGTGGGCCTGGGGTGTGAGACAGAGGGATCTTTTGCATTAACACTTACTTTTCCAGGTTGAATGGGGGCAGTTTCCACCCCTTTTAGGAGAGGAATCCAGATATTCCCTCCTCTGTATCCCTGAGGGGCCTTCTTTTAAATACATACTTGCATCAACTTGTTTGATCTGAAATAAGATTAAATGGAAATGTAAAGAAATGTTATTTTAGTTGTGTGCATGTGAAGAAAATGAACCTTCTGAAACAAAACAATGTAACAAAATCTTCCAATATAGAGTATGTCAAGGCTTCTATATTTTAAAAAGTAAACTAATGAGTAGTATATACTGTTGGGGTGAGTCCCTGGTCTGGAGAACATCTTATTTACCATCTTAAATACTTAATGCATGTCATTCAATACGTTATGTCTGTGAAACTTCTAATCACTGTATTTTGCATGCAGGCTGACTGCCAAGTGGAGCAAAATAGAAAACACTTCTATGAGGTGTCTCTTGAGTATGTGTGTAAGCTGCAGGAGATACAGGAACGAAAGACGTTTGAGTGTGTGGAACCTGTAAGTATTATGGAATGCAATTTATTAAGAAAGCAGTGCAGCTTATTTTTTTAGTTAAGTGACAGAGGGGAAATATAACAGACCGTGAAACAAAAAGTATCATTCGTCAGTTTTGGCTTATGGGGGCTTTTGGCAAACTGATTATTTTGACTTAATTCATAGCCACTCAAATGTTAGTGATCAAAAGACCTGTTTTTAATCTAAGATTAGGTCCTGTAGACTTAATTTATGTTTGTACCTGTTCACTAAAAAGCTGCATGCATTCCTGAAGCTCCAAAATACGGGTAATCTGAAATTCTCAAATTTTGTGAGAGATGAGGCTTTGGAAAAAGAATGAATTTCCCTTGGGTTTCAATGCAAGCCATAAACATGCTACTGAGGCTTACTTAAAGTTCCTGGCTGGATTTGTCCTAAAGTTTCCTCATATTTGAGTTAGGAGTCTAACCCAGTGTTAAACTTAGGCCAATAGTATGTGGTTTCAAGTTTTTTATTTTAATGAAATGCTTAGAGGCTAATTGTTGAAATGGGGGAATGGATTTTTCTGCAAAGCTGAGGGGTCTAGGCAAAACAGCCCCCTTGACTTTAAATCCCCAAACTCATTAGGCCTAGAGAACTCCAATTTTCTACAGATATAGCTATTTTGGTTAGGGGCATATAGACTTTATTTTGTTTTTATCAAAATAGTTATACTAGCATAAATGCCTAGATCTACTGGCATTAAAGTGCTATGTTGGCATAATTTTCATGTGTTTGGGAAGCAGGGATAGGTTATACTGGCATAAGAACTCTTTAACTATATGTTAGCTTTGTAAAATAGCACAGGGAGTTTATTGCTTTGCCTTCTTTATTTTAAAGTAGTGGTGAACAAGGCCTTAAACATCTTTCAAAATCTCCCCTTTTAAAAACAAATGTACCCAGAAGCTTTGCCTCTTTGCTGTGTAGTCATTCTTTGACACAAGCCCTTTGAGCCATTTCTTCACAGCCTAGTTTGAAACCAGTATGTCTTAGAATGCATTTTCAGGCCTTATGTCTGTGTCTTTGCAGTTTGAGGCTTTGCAGCTACCTGTTGATAAAATCTTTGCCCTGTAGACTGGGCAAGCTGTATCTGAGAGGATGCTGTTGCTTGTTTTGTACATGACTATATAGTGCAGGGGTTGTCAGCCAGGGGTATGCATACCCCCAGGGGTACTTAGAAAGATCTTCGGGGGTATGCATGAACGGATAGTCAGGTAGGTGGGTCGGCGGGGATGGAGCATGCCCCGGGGCATGGCGGCAGTGTCTCCCCTGGCGCATTTGCCTCTTACCTGGGGGAGGGGCATGCTGGGCACTGCCAGCTCCACATGGCACATCATGGTGTCTCGCCGCCCCCCACCCCAGCTTGCTCTCCTGATTGGCTGCTGCCAGGGTCTCAATGGCAGTGGCGGGGGAAGCGTGTTTCTATGCTCACTCCCAGGAGGGAGTCGGGGGCAAAGGCAGTGGCGCCCCTCTGCACACTGTGCAGGCACTGCCCGGCCTGCTTTCCCATGGCCAGTTGCACGTGCAGCTCTGCAGGCTGCTGGAGTGGTGTGTGATTGCCTGGGTATGAGGCCTGTCAGCAGCCCACAGAGCCACATGTGCAACTGGCCATGGGAATTCGGGGCGCAGTTGTGGCATGGGGCATTGGGCGTCAGGGTCAGCAGGGCAGTGGGTGGCAGGTGGTGGCTGCCATGTGTGAGCACACCCTCCTCTCCCCGCTCTGTGTCCAGCTGCCACCACCAGAAGGGACACTTGCTAAAAAAGGTTGAAACCCCTTGATATAGTGGGACTCTGTGAATTATTTTTCTGTTTAATTTCCCCTGAGAATGTAACCTGTGATTCTATTTCTGTAAAGGTGGTAAAGCACTCTTAAAATGCTCTGTTTAGCATAGCTTCAAAGTATTGTTAAATCAGACTGTGCCTCTCATACATAATGCAGAGGTCCATCTTTTCCTGCGTTATTACTCTCACTGTTTTGATTTTTTTTTCCTTACCATTCTGTTAATTAAGTTAACTAGTGCATTGTGAATAGGGGACATTTGAAAAACAAACAAATAAACAAAAAACAATTTTTTGGTTTTAATTTTCTAAAGGGTTACAAGAAAATACAACAACACAACCTTTCTCTGATAACTGAAATTGTCTTCTGCTTCTACTTCAGGTGCTGTCATTTTTTCAGGGTTTGTTCACTTTCTATCATCAAGGATATGAACTTGCCAAAGACTTTAATCACTACAAAATGGATCTACAAATTAATATTCAAAATGTAAGTCAAGATCTCTTACATTTAAGTCATTTCCAACTTTCTCTAATAAAATGTATGTTACTGTATTTGGTCGACTATAATCAATAGTTTCTTAGTAATGTTACTTAATCACTTAGAGTATAGGCATATAATGCCATCTTCTGGCTAACCAGCTGTACGAGTGAATAAACCATTATCTGATGACTGATAATGCAGTAAGTCCTGCCACCTAGTGGTTTGTAATACCCTTTAAAATACTTTGACTTTGTCATAGACACACATCTTTTTAGATAATGTTTTCAAATTCATTTATACCCACATTACATGTGTTTAACGTTCTGATTGGAAAACAGTCATCCTTTTCATAAGTTGGGACTAGCAATGAAATATAGATCTCTTGACCTTTTTAGGTATATTTTTAAATTTAGGTTAGAATGTCATCTATAGTAGGAATATACTGGATGTAACTGAAGAACGTAAAATTGAAGTGATCACATTTCTTAATGTTTGATAAACTTGGTGGCACCTCCTTTGAGAGCCAAAGAAAGAATGGCATGGAAGCCTAGATATTCTTTGCTAGAAGTAACACTATTAGAAAATTGTGTTCTGAAGCATGTGGGTTGCACCATGCTATTACCTATGCTATATGTAACATTGCTCCATTTTAAGGGGAAAACCAGACCTTTACAATTGTTAGACTTGGCTGGGAAGCAGTTGAGTACTCTGTAGAAAGGGATGAAAGTGCTACAGAATGGGAACAGAGTCCTTCCTATAGCAGACCTAGAAGTAAGGGGATTGAAAGAAGTAGCCCCGCATGGGCTGAACAACCTCTTTGACATTTTTGCATAAGTTTAGTGGAAGAATGAAGCTGCTGTATAATGGCGTGGGGGAGTAGTGACTCCTTGCTAGGCTAGGAAGGAGGCCTGCTGCCTAATATGCTAGCAAGCAGCTCATTAAGCTGTGTTGGTTATTAGTCTTCAGGGCTGTCTGGAATTAGTACACAAGCCATCCTTCTAGGAGATAACTGTCTAAGTTTAGACATAATTTAATGAATTGGAAAAGTAGATGCTAGTAGGGAAAAAAGTGAGGTTTAAGATTACAATAATATTTGATTACTGAAGGATGTGGTGATCACATCTTGATGGTACTGCTCTTTCATTTCCTCTTTTGCTGTACATATAAATCTTCTGTCTTCACTCATGAAATTTCCCTTCAAGTTATGTTAGGTTAGCAAGGAGAATTTGATGATTCTGAATTAGTGCTAGGGAACATCAAAGAAAGTTGGCCTTTTCTGGAAGGACTTGAACGAAGGGGGAATGTATGTATCCCACCAACAGTGGATGATTATTTCAAGGACAAAGCTGAGAGTAGGAGAGGGGCATAAAGGTGCCTTTCAGTCTGATGCTGTGGTTGTAGTTAAAAAAATGTAAGTTGAGCTGAGCAAGAAATTAAATGTGAGATGAGGGTGGAGTCATGCAAGGTTTTGAAAGTGTGGATGAGGAATTAAATTTGAACTTGTAGATGAAAGTGAGTCAGTAGAGAGGCTTGAAGGCGAAAGTGTCATGGTCAGAGAACAGGTTGAATTATTCTCAACTGTCATATCTCACTTTGATTATAGAGCTGGATTGAACAGATGAGTTGGATTAAAAAAATTCTGTAAGGGAAAAGAAGTAAGACTTTGTAACAACAGTCATTATGTGGGAAGAGCATAAAAGGAAGAGTCCAGTATTCTGAAGCTGTGAACCTGGATGGCTATGTAAAGACAGACAAAGTAGGAGAACATTTGGAAGAGAAAATGACTTAGGTTTTGGCCATGTTACAGTTGAAATGGTTGATATGTTGGAGATAGAGGTGCAGGATTGAGCAAGGAGAGACTGGTGGGCTTTGGACACTGACTTATAAGTCCATAAGAACATAAAAGATATCATTCTTTCAAAAGGAAGTACTAAATAATGGCACTAACAACGTCGCCATATCAACATGTGTAGACGCACCCATAGGGTTGGAAGGGACCTCAAGGTCATTCAGTCCAACTTCTTGCAGGAATGCCGCTCGTACATTATGATATCACCCATCCAGTAGGTGAAAGAATCGAGAATTGTGAGGGGAGGAGTGGAACCCTCCTGGTGTGAGTTACTCTGGTTTAAGTTTTGGCTGCATCCATCCTGAGGTAGCAGTTAGCTAAAGAAAAGCTGACTATTACTTCCTTCTCTGTCACCCAGTGGTAAGGCTCAATAACATCTGGCTAGTGTGAGCTACCACAGTATAACATTTATCTGTTCCTGAGCCCCAGTTCAGAGTGCAGCCATATCATCTAGCCTTTGGCATCAGAAATTTGATGGTGGAGAGAGGATACCAATGTTAATTGCTGTGCAACTAATTCTACTTCTGCTTACTCCATGGTCAAATTTGTGGGCCCATGGTCTGGATTTGGAGCATGTAGCTGTACCATCTGGCCTGCAAAGCTGTCCCTAGAGCCAGAAATGTGGCAGGGGGTTGAGCAGCAGCTTCTGGAGCTCTTGGAGCTGTGGCAGTTAACACTGCTGCTGCCAAATTTCTGGCCTTGCCGGCCAAATGACATGGCTCTGTGCTCCAGATCCACCCCATGGGCTGACCCTGGGTGAGTCATCCAACCTGTGGGGCTGGATCAGCTTGACACTTCTGATCTGAACTTAATGTTATATCAGGGTTGAACAGGAGAGAACAGAGGTTAGGAGGAAAGATTGCTGAAATGTCCATAGAATGTCTGACATCACCTTCCTGGACCATGCTTAACTTGCCTCAGCACGTGTGATTTACAAGGCTTAGAGGAAAAAAATTGGGGTGTATGTGTGTGCAAAATTTGATAAAATTCAGAAGTGACATGTTCTGGCTAGAATTTCAGCAAAATTAGGTTTGCAAAGCCAAGGATTTGAATTAACTCAGCATTCTGTGATAGCCAGACACAAATATTGTGATCATAAAACCTGAATGGGTGTGGACTGATTAACACTGCCACCATAGTCCATATAGCTTTTCCAACATTTTGTCTCAAGTGCAGACATTCAGGAGGTTAGATAGGTTTCAAAATGGTCACCCAATTTAAACTGAGCTTGTTCTGGTGCTGACCTTACACTTACAGACTGCATCTCAGTGACTGACAATCAGTCTAAACCTGTAACTGTACAGAAGCTCCATGCACACAAACCAGTCTAAAAATTGCAGAACTAAGTTTAAGATAAACTTGGATCTGTGTAGTATCAGACTTATTCAATTTAGGTCAAACTGGATCATGGAACTTGTGTACACTTTCCCTGTGTAGCTCCGGGGCTAAGAGAACCCAGTCACTGGCCCGAGCCCCAGGGCTGCTCTTTTCGCACCCGCCTACCCCCTGCACTGGACTATTTTTTGCTCCTCTGGCCCTTGCTCCCTCTTTCCTCCCCCTGACCAGCCACTCTTTCAACCCCCATCCCTCAAGCCACTTGGGGTGCAGCCACCTTTATTACCATTTGCCTCTGCGAGAGCTGAACAAGTCAGTCCCAGTAGGGGGAGGGGAAGGGGAGAGATGAGGGTGTAGGTTCACTGGGGGTTGTGCTTCCCTTCCATCCCCCAGCAGATCTGTCCACTAGTCCCCCCATCTGGACTTACCTGATATTGGTCAGGCATTTTGAATTGATTTAACTTCCCCCTAACGCCCTGAATGTCTGTACTTGGCCGTTATGCACGGGGTCCCCCTCCCCATCTCCTTCCTTTCCTCTCCAATGTGGCAATGCCTGATGGGCCTGACCTTCTGAGCCATAGCACTGGCCATTGCTCCATACAACTTACGGTGACGGCACATACTGATGATATGACAGCTCCTAGTATCTACCCAGAAACTGGGAAGGCTGCCTTGAAGAGATTGAGGCACAACTATAGTGGCGCCACTGGTGCCTGGCCAGCCCCTCCTACCGAGCCTGGGTCTTTGTCATCAACAACTTGGCAGCTGATACTCTGTGTCACAGGTATGCCATCCTTGACCTACAAATTATCCTGCTTAAGAGGTTCCAGAAACTTTTAGTAGACTTCTGGCACAGGCACCACTGGCTTCAGCAGGCTATCCTGTGCCTACCCACAAGCAAGAGAGGTCAGATGCTAATAAAACTGACAAGCAGTATGGTTGCCTTCTGCCTGCAAGCCTTCAGTGCCTGTTTTTTGTTGGGGAATGTTTCCACTGGCAACAACTGGCATTTGCTTGCTTGTGTTGGGTGGGGGACCTCAAACTGTGGGAATTTTTCCTGTTGTATCCTGATCACCTGAGTTGGGACACTCTGCTGCCCTTATACTGCAGCATCTTCAGGCCTGGCAGATTTACCTCTGAGATGCCAGGGCAGGTGATTTCCAAAACTGCTGCAGGAGCCCCTGATGCAAAACTTGGTCTTGCAGCAGGGAGTGCCGAGCTGAGCTTCTGGAAGCCTCTCTGCTTTCCTGGTCTGGCTGCACACCTTTAAGCTGACCCACCTCTTCAACTTAGCTTTCAGCCAAAGCTCTGGCTGACTGGCTGGGCCTGTGCTGTCCATTTTGCTCTGCATGTTTTGACTGAAGTGAAAGGTGTCCTTCCCATTGCCAAGAAAACTGTTGCCTTATGTCCACCACTTAAACCTGGTGGCACTGGCAACCTGCACTTTCTGCAAAGAGGAGGTGCAGAAGACTCTTCCGTATTTTCATGGACTGTCCTCTCCCTCCTGGCTGCCCTCAGCACTGTTTGGCATGCTGGACTTGGACTCTTCTGAGATTATATACGTCTTCACTGTCCTGTACTGAGCAGCCAGGGGGAGCGTGATCTTCCTGGCTGATTTCCTGCTGGGCCAGGCCAAGATGGCAAGCCTAAAACCTGCAGAAACCAGCTTTTGGGGCTGGCTCCAATGATGCTCTCCAACTTTTCTGCTTTCTGGTCTGGGTACATGTCACATTTGAATTTGAAATTTCACTTTGCAACAAAACAGGGGCCAGTTTGTCTCATGTTAGGTCATTGATGGGGCCTTCTGCAAGGAAGAAGATGGATAGTTGGTCCTACATGTGTCATCATCAGCAGTCCTTCAATTGGAGGATGATCTCTACCACAGCTCATTGATGGGTCTTCAGATGACTTGAGAGTTCAATCTTTGAGCTACAGACCGATCCGCAGAAGTTGCAGGTCTTTTCACAGAGGAGAGTAGGCTGCAGGCTGAGATTCCTTTCCTTTTCCTTTCTCTGCTCTGAAGGCATGGTACTTTACCTGAGAACTGGCTGCCACTTGGTTGAGGTTGTGGCACCATTGGAATGGGTTGGCAGCCAGCTTCTCCTAACTCTCTCAATGTTGGCATCCATTTTCTTGACATATGCTTTCAATATATCCTTGTAGTGTTTCCTCTGGTCACTGAAAGATCTCAGGTCATTACTAAGCTGGGAGCAAGGCACTCATTTTGGGAGCTGAGAGTCAAGCATCCACACATAGTGTCCAGTCCAGTGAAGTTGGTGATCAGGATCACCAACTCCAATGTTGGTAACATTGGCTTTAGCTAGGATACTGGTGTCCATTGTGGGGTGATCTTCCCATTTAATGTGGAGGATTTTCCAGAGGCATCTTGATACCTCTCCAGGTTCTTGAAATGACGATGATAGGTCACCTGCATTTTGTGTTCATACAGGAGGGTAGGGATGATGACTGCATTGTACCCCTGGGTCTTGGTGTCTTTCTGGACATCACGATCACAATTTCCTGAAGGAGGCGCTTGTGCATCAGATCCTGTGCACTGTTCACTTTGAGAGATGGGGCTACCAAATGTTCGACTACCTTTCGGGTTTTTTCCTCAATGCAAATTTTAGAGCGTGTGATAGAGCACTTCAGTCTTCTTGATGCTGAGAGAGAGGCCTAAAGTTTGATAGGCTTCTCTGAAAAGATCCAGTGTGATCTGAAGGTTTTATTCCATGTGTGCAAGGGTGGCACAGTTGTTGGAATATTGAAGGCCAAGGGCAGTTATTTTGAATACTTTGGTCTTTGAGCAAAAGCAACCCAGATTGAAGAGCTCGCCATCCATTCAGTGTTCAGTGCCAATTCTGGAAGGAAGGCAGTCCTTAATGAGATGTAGGATGACTGTCAAAAAATGGAGAACAGGGTTGGGGCAACGATACATCCTTCTTTGATCCCAGTTCCAATGCCAAATGGATCCATGTCCAATCTGCTACATAGAGTGGTTGCAGTTATCTAATTGTTGAACAGCCCCGGGACCTTGATGCCCTTTTTAGGACATCCACATCTGGCCAATATTTTCCACAAGGCTTCACGATCAACGAAGGCCATATATAGGTCCTGATGTTGTTTCCGACACCTGTCTTGAACCTGGCAGGCAATAAATATCATGCCAGTAGTCCTACAGGATGGTCTGAAACCACACTGAGATTCTGGCAGGACTTCTTCAGCAAGAGGTAGAAGACAGTTCAGGAGGATGCAGGCAAGGATTTTGCCTGCTGTGGAAAGGAGGGTGATACCTTGATAGTTCCCATACACAAATTTATCTCCTTTCAGTAATATAGTCATGATGTTGACATTCCTCAGATCCCCCAGGGATATCTTTGTCCTGGGGGATCCAAATTCGAGGAATAAATTCATGAAGTCTCAGTACCAGTTCCTTGCCACCAGCCTTATAGATTTCAGCATCCAGTCCGGTAGATTTAATGTGTTTGGTTTTCTTGATGGCATGCCAGACTTCTAGAATAGGAGCATTGGAGAGGGATCTGCTTTCAGAGTGTCAGGGGATGGATGGACACAACTGTGGTATCTGTCACAGTTGACTCATGGTTCAAGAATGCCTCAAAGTGCTTTTTCCATCTAGCTTGGATAGATTCATTGTCTTTGAGGAATGTAGAGCCAGCCTGCAATTGTGAAAAAGTAGGACCAGGGGAAATTGGGCTGTAGATAGCTTTTGTTGCCTGGAAAAATCTATGCATATCATGTTTGTTAGCATAGACCTGGATCTCCTTGGCTTTGTCTTGCTACTAGTGACTTCTGATTTCTGGATTCTCTGTTGAGCTTCAGCTTTGAGGAGCTGATATGCCACTTTATTCTGCTGAGATGGTGTCATTTTGCCAAGCAGAAGGAGCCTTTCTCTTCTGGTCAAGGAGGGCTTGGATCTCAGTGCCACTTTCATCAACATGATCTTGTTGTTGACAAGTGGTGTAACCAATGGATTCAGCACAGGCCAGATTGATGGCTTGTAAGACTGTAATTGTGGCCAGAGCTTCACTGTAAGGGTGGCCAGAGCCTGGAATAGGCTTCCCAGAGAGGTGGTGCTCTCACCTTCCCTGGAAATCTTCAAGAGGAGACTGGGCAGGCACCTGGCTGGGGTCTTATGACCCCTGCCACCCCCAGTGCTCCTTCCTGCCCATGGCTGGGGGTTGGACTCGATGATCTGTCTAGGTCCCTTCCGACTCATTGATTCTGTGATTCTGTGGCGTTTTCATACCTCTTCCAGAGTTCCTCAATGCTGCCTTCATTTGTGGATAGGGCAGAAAGCTTTACATGGAGACACTGTTGGCAATCCTTACAGACATTTGTGTCTTGAAGAGATTTGGTGTTGAGTCCTTCACGTGGCTTTTGGCTGTTTGTTGTTTCAGAGCAAGGTGGATGTTCGTAATGGATCTGACAAGATGGCAATCTGTCCAACAGTCATTGGTTCCTCACATGGCTTGCATGATATGGACATCCATTTCATCACAGGCTCTGACAATAACATAATCCAGGAAGTGCCAGTGCTTAGAGTGAGGGTGTCTCCAGGTGTTCTTGTATTTGTCACTGTCTGGAGATGGTGTTTGTGATGACAAGACCATGCCTGTGCATTTGCTCAGGTGAAGGATGCCATTTGAATATGCTGGTTCCACGGACAATTGGCTAGCTTGTATAATGAAGACTTCAAAATTCTCCCTCTCCTCATCTCTCCCTGCCCTGTTTCTCTCTCCCCTCTCCTCCCACATCTCTCTCTCTCCCCATCTCTTTTCCACTGTCCTCCCTGTCTTGCCCTCGCTCTTGCCCCCTCTCCATTCTTTGTATGCACTGCAGAGGATTCTTTTGGATGGACAGTACTGTAGCAGTTGCAACCTTCCTTTCCAATAGGTGTAGATGCTGAGGAGAGAGTAGAACCAATAAGTAATTATGATACAAATGCTAAAGGCTGACCTAGCAGGAACTTGATCATTAGGGCTTGATTTCCATAGACTCATTGAAAGCCAGTCTGCCATATCAGTACAAGTAACATTTATGTCAAGCATAAATCTGGAATCTGCATATCTGGCTAGTCAAGTGCATGTTGTAACTGGCCTTGTGCATGCTTTGTTTAGATGTACAATATTTTTTTGTGTATATAGTTGGAGGTCTTTTTGAAAAATCAGACCAAGTGCAAGTAGTCTGACTGAATATTACAAAAAGGTGGCTTTTGACATGCAGTGAATCAGATGAACATACAGCTGCCATTCTTGCCCTTACCCAAATTATGAAATAGAAACTGTATGCCCAAGTGAATAGCTTGGTAAATTCCCCATTTACAAATCCAGTAGGTTGATTTGTATGTCTGATTTGCTTAAACAAACAGGCATACAGTAAAAGCATATATTTTGTGGCATAGTTATTTACTGGATGAATGGCAGTTCTTGATAGACAGTGGACATTATAATCAGAGGTGTTCACTCAAAACAATAAACTCTCATTGTTTTGCTAGAGTGTAATGAATTAGTTTAGTCACCTATGACTCCTAGTGTGATGTGATTTGTTTTCTGGCTGTTGTTAATATTCTGAATAAAAGCTGCTGTTGCTTATGGACTTGGGAGAGTGGTTCTGAAGGGTAGTAGGAGGGAAGAAATAGACTGAGTTGTTAAAATATAGTAAAAAGATTTCTGTACTCTTTCATGTCATACCAAGATGTCTGGCACTGTGGGTAGTCACAGAATATGCAGGAATAGGTGATGACCTACTTATACATTCTCCCTAGTAACTACTGAAAGAGTCACCTTTTCTGACCTGAAAGCATGCTATTTATCAAGCTAACGTTTATGGCACATATGGAACCAGCATGTTCAAATGCAGGCTTAGCCATGAGATGGTCATTGCTTACTGTTCCATCTGCTCTTTCCCTTAAATAGAACAATAGATTCTTTAGAGACCTGTTCCTGTTAGATCTCCTGGCTCCCTTCTCACAGTTATTGCAGCTATTGCCTAAAATACACTTTGTCTTTTGAAGAATACTCCAAGAACAGAGGTTGATGGAAACCACAAACCAACTTTAATTATCCTCCCATTTTCTCATCAATCGTTGCAACTTCCTCTTTCTGTCCCCAAAAAAAAATAGTTGTTCCCTCTGCTACTGCTTTTCTCAGTGGGTTTTTTTTTTTTAATTGTAGACAAGAAATCGTTTTGAAGGAACGAGGTCGGAGGTAGAGGAACTCATGAACAAAATCAAGCGAAATCCTCAGGAACGTAAGAGAGCTGATCAGTTTACAATGGAAGGTTACCTTTATGTTCAGGAAAAAAGTAAGATATGTTTCTAATTTATTTATATTCTGGTGCTGCCCTAAATACACACAGTGCACAAATGCAAACCCACATTGTCCCATACAGATACAATTTCTTCTGAATGACCTGTCTATTTTAAGAAAAGTACATTTTTGTAATTCACAATATTCTAATCTTATTACAATGTTAATATCATACTTTAATACATAATATTTTGCTTTTCATGTGGTGATCTCAGAGCTCTATATAACCATCAAGTAAGCAGATTGCTGTTAGGTAGGAAAACTGTAACATTCCTACCTTCCAGATGAGGAATCTGTGAGGTGAGGAATGCTCTTGTAATTTTTCCAAAGTTATACTGAGTGGCCAGACTAAACGAGTATAGCACCAACTCTCAAATCACTGTGTACTAAATATTTTATTAAGGTAAAACCCATTATAAAAACACCTGTTTAAAGAAAAAACCATATATATATAAAAAATTGGATTTAGTGGTTTGTCTGCTGTATAACTACTGTAACTTAAAGGAAGAATTAATATCTACTAATATAACTAGCAAACTCCATTTGATTATCCCCAAAAATAAAGATGCTAAGGTAATATTTATTAAACAAAATCATTGCTTAAACGAAGCATGCACATGTTATGAAACAGTACTGATACAGCTATATATTTGTCCTGATTTTTTTCAGAAGTGCTGAGCATTTTAATGTTTGTGGAAAACCAGGCTAGTTTAGTTTGAGTCACTTCATAGTTTACCTACGTATTTTAATTAATTGTGATCAGTGTTGGATAAAACAGGCCTACATGTTGAACAGATGATAGCATGAATCTTAATATACTAATATGTTGTATATTTAAAAGATGTGCTTTTCATGCCAACTTACTTTTATAAGTTTTTCAATATAGTTGAAGAAAATAGTGACATTAACCTTTGACAACTTGCTGTGAATTCAAACCTGGTTTTTAAAGCATTCAAATTTCATATATTTTTTAGTTTTAAAGGTCTATGCACTCTTAAAAAATGTATCTATGTTTAAAATCACAAACTTCTCAAATGTGTTCTGTGCATTGTATATTTTCATTCCTTTTTTCCTGTCCATAAGTAAATATAAACATTTTGGCATCTTTGTGTCAGTGTTTGCACAATAATATAAACTGCTGAAACTACTAAGACATGTTTTTTTTATTTTATGATAAGTTGGAAAGCATGAGGAACTACATAGGAAATTTTAAGGGAGCTGGGGACTCTTAGAGAGCTAGGGTTTCCAACAGCCATATTTTTTCTAGTGTCCCCTTTATGTAGACCACACATCTTATGTTAGTCCTGGGAAAAACACTATATTCAACTGTATTTTGCATGAAAACGTCATTTTATATAATACATAAGATGCAGGTCTAGAATAATTTTTAAAAATCAATATTTCAGGTCTTATCTGGTAGAACAACATACTTAAAAAAAAATCCAAAATGAAATTTTTAATCAAGATTCTCACAAATACTTTGTTTTTGAATTAATTTTATTATTCTATCTCAAGTTTGAAATAGAAAAAAATTTAAAAAATCCTAAACACTGATCCAGTTTCAGAAAAATTGAGCTCTACTTGCTTCCAACATTAGTACCTTGAGATCCTGGTGATTTTTGAGGTCTTGCACTCAGAGCTGATCCTATGGGTGTGTGGGGCTTGGGGCATATCAGCCTGTGCGGGACCTGTGCAGGAGGGAGGGTGGCAAGCAGCTGGAGCAGGAAGCCGGTGGCGCGCAGTGACTGTGCAGAGAGTGGTGGTGCCTGTGGCACATGCCAGTGGCATGGGGCCTGTACGGCACTGTCTGTGGGGGCCCCCAAAGCACAGAGCCCAGGTCAGTTGCCCTGATTTGCGCCCCCCCCCCCACACACACACTGCCAAGGATGGTTCTACTTACACTTTACTGAACTGTTTCCTTTCTGAGTTCCTGTGGGGGGTGTTTTTTTTGGTTAGATATACAATAGGCAATACTTCTGAGGCACATGAGTGGTAGCTATTCACACACACACATATGGGTTGCTCTCCTAACAAGATTAGAGTCTAGAGGAAGTGTGGATACCTTGAAGTAGACCATCAACTTTTAGCAGGACAAGCTCCTGAGTGCTGGCAGCAAAGCAATATGTCAGTAGCAGTTTCTGTTGACTCGATTGGCAACTTTTTTTTCATGAGTTACAAGGGGCAGTAGTTGGTCAAATATGGGGCTTTATGCTTCTGCTTGGCCAATCATACTTCTGAATTGGGCAGCACTGGTTCTGTTTGGGAAATGTAGTGGCTGCTTATGAGAGATGGGTATATCCACCTTTATATCCAATTCAAGCTAAAGGTGTGACAACTCTGAGCGAAGAGACTACCGTTCATCTTGCCAACCCCTGAAAATTGGAGTCCAAGGTTTAACAGCTAATATTATCTTGCAGATTCCAGCTGCTTGTAATGGAGCATAGAGCAAGTTGGTTTTAATAAATAACTTAGTTTTACATTAATATCTATATGTATATCTTATATCTTATAGCACCATTAGTGCTTCAAGTTCTACATTGCGTCTTGGTCTGAGTTTGGCTCTGTTCACAATTGCAGGCACCAGAATCCAGAATTTAAATTCTAGATTTATAGCCCTTACTGATTTAGAGCTTCCAGGATTTGTCAAAGATTAAACATAGATACTGCATCACAGTAAAAGGCTTGGAGATGACAAAAGCATGAATACTTTTAGTGTGGCCTATGTTACATGTAAAGGTCCCAACAAACCTTGCAGAAAATACTAAGTAACTAGGAGTCATGTTAAAGTATCCTGGTGTGCATTTGACTTATTGGGCTGAATTACGTAAGGTGGAAATGCCTATGAAAACAAATATGCTGTACTATATAAATAAATAAGTGTTCTGCTTTAGGTTACTTTAAAATTATTTTTGGTGTCCTTGAATCTAATATTCATATAGGAACTGCAGTTCTTATCCAGCATTCTGGGAAGATAGCACTCCTCCACATATTTGGATAATCAGACATCTGTCTGACTGATCTCACTGGGTTCTTCACTGAAAGTAGTTGAATGGATAACAGGCTTTTTCTAGCAGTAATGATGGAAATGACCCTTTTATAGAGCTCTTTTCCTCTGAATTACAAAGAATAAAATGCAGCATACATCACTAAACAGAATACTACCCAGAAGTAGATGTGCATTGATACATCAGTCCAATATTGGATCAGTACCGATATAAAGAAAACTGTCTGCATCAGATAGCCGCCCAGTGGGGATGACAGTTTGGCCAATAAATGCCCATGCTGCACACAGCTGCAGCACAGTACTCAGGCAGCGAAGAGCAGAGCTGGCAGTGTGGAGAGAGAGCTGCCTTCAGCTGGTAAGTCCAGTGTGGTGGAAGGG